CCCGCAGGCCCGACCAGTCCCCCTCCACTGACACCCTCATCCGCTTAGCCGAACTTGTCCTCACCCTCAACAACTTCTCTTTCAATTCCTCCCACTTCCTACAGACAAAGGGGGTGGCCATGGGTACCCGCATGGGCCCAAGCTATGCCTGCCTCTTTGTAGGTTACGTGGAACAATCCCTCTTCCGTAGCTACACTGGCCCTAAACCCCACCTCTTCCTCCGTTACATTGATGACTGTATCGGCGCCGCCTTGTGCTCCCACAAGGAGCTTGAACAGTTCATCCACTTCATCAACACCTTCCACCCCAACCTTAAGTTCACCTGGACCATCTCTAATACCTCTCTCTCCTTCCTGGACCTCTCTGTCTCCATCTCTGGCAACCTCCTAGAAACCGATATCCATTTCAAGCCCACCGATTCCCACAGCTACCGAGAATACACCTCCTCCCACCCATCTTCCTGCAAAAATACCATCCCCTATTTCCAATTCCTTCACCTCCGCCGCATCTGCTCCCAGGATGAGGCATTCCACTCCTGTACATCTCAGATGTCCTCGTTTCTCAAGGACCGCAAATTCTCCCCCTCAGTGGTCGAGAACGCCCTCGACCGTGTCTCCCACATTTCCCGCAACTCATCCCTCACACCCCCTCCCCGCAATAACAACCAAAACAGAATCCCCCTCGTCCTCACGTACCACCCCACCAACTTCCAGATCCAACGCATCATCCTCCGACACTTCCGCCATCTGCAATCCGACCCCACCACTGGAGACATTTTTCCCTCCCCACCCTTATCTGCTTTCCGGAGGGACCACTCTCTCCGTGACTCCCTTGTCCACTCCACACTCCCCTCCAGCCCCACCACACCCGGCACTTTTCCCTGCAACCGCAGGAAATGCTACACCTGCCCCTACACCTCCCCCCTCACCCCCATCCCAGGTCCCAAGAAGACTTTCCACATCAAGCAGATGTTCACCTGCACATCTGCTAATGTGGTATACTGCATCCGCTGTACCCGTTGTGGCCTCCTCTACATCAGGGAAACCAAGCGGAGGCTTGGGGACCGCTTTGCAGAACACCTACGCTCGGTTCGCAATAAACAACTGCACCTCCCAGTCGCAAACCATTTCAACTCCCCCTCCCATTCCTCAGACGACATATCCATCCTGGGCCTCCTGCAGTGCCACAACGATGCCACCCGAAGGTTGCACGAACAGCAACTCATATTCCGCTTGGGAACCCTGAAGCCCAATGGTATCAATGTGGACTTCACAAGCTTCAAAATCTCCCCTCCACCTACCACATCCCAAAACCAGCCCAGCTCGTCCCCGCCTCCCTAACCTGTCCTTCCTCCCACCTATCCCCTCCTCCCACCTCAAGCCCCACCCCCCTCTCCTACCTACTAACCTCATCCCACCCCCTTGACCTGTCCGTCCTCCCTGGACTGACCTATCTCCTCCCTGACTCCCCACCTACACTCACCTTTACTGGCTCCATCCCCGCCTCTTTGACCTGTCTGTTTCCTCTCCACCTATCTTCTCCTCTATTCATCTTCTAGCCATGTCCCCCTCTCTCCCTATTTATTTCAGAACCCCCTTCCCCTTCCCCATTTCTGAAGAAGGGTCTAGGCCCGAAACATCAGCTTTCCTGCTCCTCTAATGCTGCTTGGCCTGCTGTGTTCATCCAGCTCTGCAAGTTGTTATCATTGAAGATGGTTGGGCCTAGGATGCTACCCTGAGGAACTACTCAGGGATGTCATGATAATTAATAGTTAAATATTATGTTATTAAGTATTTCAAGAGAGTTAAAGTTATGCCAATTCTTTTCTTGTTTGCATTTTACTGGGCAGTAAGAATAAAGTGTGTTTTGCTTAAATATATGATTAACCAGTGAAGAGTTTCCCCTGATTCCCATTAAATCTAGCTTTGCTAAGGTCCTTGATTCCAAACTCGGTCAAATGTGGCCTTGATTCAAGTCAGTCATTTTCTCCTCACCTCTGTAATTCAGCTCTTTTACCTATGTTTGAACCAAGGTTGTAATGAGGTCAAGACCTCAGATGCTGCTTAATAACATTGTTAGCGACACCTTGCATTTCTTTACTTCTTTATTCATTCATGGGATATGGGCATCGCTGGATGGCCAGCATTTATTGCCTGTCCTCAGTTGCCCTTGAAATGATGGATGTGTGCTGCAGTCCATGTGCTTTAGATAGACTCATAATCCTCTTGGGGAAGGAATTCCAGGGTTTTGACCCAGTGACAGTGAAGGAACAGTGATCTATTTCCAAGTTAAGACAGTGAGTGGTTTGGGAGGAAACTTGCAACTGATGGTGTTCACACGAATCTGCTGTCCTGTCTTTGAGATGGACTTGGTCATGAGTTAGCAAAGTCCTGTCTAAGGATCTTTGGCGAATTTCAGTAATGAATCTTGCAGATAGTGCATACTGCTGCCAATGTGTATCGGTGGTGGAGGGTGTGGATGCTTGTGAATGTGATGCCAATCAAGGGGGCTGTTTTGTCCTGGTGGTGTCAAGCTTCTTGAGTGTTACTGGAGTTGCACCCATCCAGGCAAATGGGGAGCGTTCCATCACACTCCTGACTTGTGTCTTGTAGATGGTGGACAGGCTTTGGTGAGGCAGAAGGTGAGTTACTGCCTCTAACCTGCTCGGGTAGTCATTGCATTTATATGGCAAGTCAAGTTGAGTTCCTGGTCAATGGTAACTCCCAGGATGTTGATAGTGGGGGATTCAGTAATGGTAACACCACTGAATGTCAAGGGGCAGTTACTAATGATCAAGAACAGACCCCACCGGCAGGGTTGGATTTGTCTTGTTTTGTGTCTAGAGGACATACCTGAGCAATTTTCCACATTGTCAGTGTTGTAGCAGTAATGGAACAGCTTGGATTGGGGTGCAGCACATTCTGGAGCACAAGTCTTCAGTACTGTTGTTAGAAGATTATCAGGGCCTTTGCAGTATCCAGTGCTTCCAACTGTTTCTTGATATAATGGGGAGTGAATTGAATTGGCTGAAGGCTGTCACCTATGATGCTTGGGAGCTCTGGAGGGGGCCAAGATAGATCATCCACTCAACAACTCTGGTTTTAGATTACTGCAAATGCTTCAGCCTTGTATTTGGGACTGATTTGCTGGGCTCCCCCATCATTCAGGTTCGGCATCTTTATTGAGCTTTCTGCTCCAGTGAGTTGCTTAATTGTCCACCACCATTCACTAATGGATATGATAGGGCTGCAGAGTTTAGATCTCATCTGTTGATTGTGGAATCACTTAACTTTGTCTATCACTTGCTGCTTTTGATGTTTGGCAGGTGAGTAATTCTGTTTTACTGCTTCACCACATTGATATCTCATTTTTAGGTATGCCTGGTGCTGCTCCTGGCATTCTTCATTGATTTTCATTTTCATTGATTAAGGGTTGATTTCCTGACTCAATGGTAAAGGTAGAGTGGGGGATATGTCAGGCCATGAGATCGCAGTTTGCATTGGAGTATGAACCTATTGTTGCTGAAGGCCCACAGCACATCATAGATGCCCAGTCATGAGTTGCTAGATCTATTCAAAGTCTGTTCCATTTAGCATGTTGATAGTGCCACAATGTAAGACATGATGTAACATATTACCGAATACCTTTAGGTTTTGGAAGCAACATACGAACACCAAATGTGAATCTAACAGCGATAAAGAGGAAAAGAGACATCAGTACTGAGGAGACCAAACCAGAAGAATATGTTGTTCCAGTGAGCTTCTGGCCATGAACCATAATCACAGAACAACCACAGTGGGAAGGAGCTGAAGTGTTTTGACTCAGAGACGCTGGAACCCAGAAACAAACAAAAAAAAGGCCAATTTTAGAGGAACTCGTATGAAGCAAATGAAACAATTAATTTCTTTCAATTGGTTGCCAATGTGTGGTGAGTATGCAAGACATATTAAACCTAATCTCTTATTCTATGTTTAGCTAAAGTGGTCCTTATTTGATGTTCATGTGCATTCATTTCTGGTGTGAATAACTGAAAGGCAACAGGAAACAAGTAACTAGTCTAATTTGCCTGCTCTAATCTTGTCCATGGTTACTTTGGTTGGAATCAAGTAAGTCTGCACAGACTGGGATTGCATTTTTGTCCAATGGAGGTGCAAATTGGATGATGTGGCTGAGCTTGTTTTCTTTTGACAGAAAAAGTTTTTCTCACCTTTTAGGTCAGGAAGATCTTGGGTGCAAAACACAAAAGTGTCTTTTCCAGTTTGGGGTCCACATTCTGAGAACCAAAGGACACGATAACGTCATTTAAGATGTAGCTAGACAGATACATGAATGGGCAGGGAGCAGAGGGATACAGATCCTTGGAAAATAGGCAACAGGTTTAGATAGAGGATCTGGATCGGCGCAGGCTTGGAAGGCCGAAGGGCCTGTTCCTGTGCTGTAATTTTCTTTGTTCTTTGTTCTGACAATTGTATTTCCTCTTACATGCTACTTTCATAGGATGCTTCAGCGTTTAGAACTCCTAACAACACATGTCCTTAAAGAATTTGTGACCAGTGGGGAAAGTCTGATTGGCAACATTCTGAAAGTGTGAAATGCTTTCACAAATTCTAATGTCACTAACAGATGCTGCATTTCAACAAAATCACAGAAGGAGACCATTCAGCTTATCATTTCTGCGATAGCTCCCTGATGGAGCAATTTATTTCTTATCACTCCTGTGTCTTTCCCCTGTAGCCATCCAAAAATTTCTTGCTCAGATACAGATCCAGTTAGCTTCCCTTTGAATACCTCAATTGTCCTTGCCTCTGCCACACTGAGAATATAATTTTCCTGTAGCAGTGAACTTTTAGGGTGTACACAGTCCAATGTTATTTTTAGTTGTTCTTTTGTGTGCAAATTTAAGTTCTATGGTATGTGAAAAGTTTTCTGTACTATAATAAATCTATACATTAATTCCTGAAAATATAATAAGCATGAAATATTAACATATTCCATCTTACTGTTCTGTTGACATATGGAATGGATGGTGATCAGGGCTTGTTTCTGAGTCGCAGGGCTGTCCATTTGATATTTCAGACATTCAAGCAACAAATTCAAGTCTGTTTTTTGCCCTGTAGATTAAAATGAAAATATAACAGCATGATATCTGCATACAGGGTGCTAAGTTGACACAGACACATGAAAAACCCAATAAGATTAAGAGCTTACAAACCACGATTGGCTGCAAATCAGGTTGCGTCATCATTTAACAGTTATGCATTTCAGGGAAAATATGTTTTCATCAATGTGCATGTAGCCCCTGGATCTTTACATATTAATAGAAGATATTATGTATACATTATCATTGCCTTTGACATTAAATCAGGAAGGAAATATTTAAGATGGTAGCTGTTAAGCTTCAGCACTAGATGTTTTGATTCTTGACTCTTTCACTCTGTTTAGAAGTAAAACAGAATAGTTTCTCAATATTAGCAAACTTGGAACAATCAGTTATTGAGAAGCCTGGGTGAAGGGATATATGGAAATTAGTGAGGTTGCAAAGTATAGCAACAAAGTTGCTCCCAAATGTAAAATGGGAATAAAATGAGGAAAGTTTACAGTAGCTTTAGTTTTGGATTTAAGAAAAGACAGACAAAGGTTCTACATCAAGTACACATAATATTGAATGGAATTATAGATGAACTTGGAATATTAAAAGCGAAATACTGCAAATGCTGGAGATCTGAAATAAAAACAAAATTCAGAAGAAACTCAGCAGGTCTAGCTGCATTTTTATAGTACCCCAAAATGAGAAACATAAATAAATTTTGCGAAGATAAATTTGAAATTCAAAGCAAGTGAATTTTATTTCCGTAAACCTGTTAGATAGGGCACCATAGGCAAAGCTTTGGGGTTGTTGCTAAAAAAATGTGCTTCAGTTGGTATCGTGTGATTCACACCATGCATTTTCAACAGACAATTCATCCATTGGAATCATAAAGCCAGAGCATTCTCACCCAGGAACCTGGTTCAATTTATCTTTCCATCCACTCAGGTTAGGTGGTGTTGGGCTCAAGACCCATCCATCATTTAAGTACACAAAGAAGGCTGATTCTTGTTTCTTTCTATTTAGTGAAGGAATGCTATATTGTTGAAGTTGCTGCCTTTTAGATGAGGCATTAAATTCAGTCACTGTATTTCAGTTCAGAGGCCAGAAAAGATCTCGTGGTGCTCCTGAAAAAGGAGATATCTAAGCCAACAATCATCCCTCAATCCGCCACAAAAAAACATGAATAGCTTGTTATTTATTTCACTGCTGTTTGGATCTCATCTGTGAATAAACTATATAGCTGCTTTACCTACAAAGCAGAAGCACTAAATTAATTAAGTTGCAATGAAGTATTTTGGGGCATCTTGAGATCCTGAGGTTTTTACTTCAAGTTTTATTCTTTCATTCCTTTTTTAATATTAGTTCTGGCAGAAATTCTACAATCTAGTTAGTGTAAAAGGAGACTCTGTGTTCTAAGCTAAGCTCGTTGAAATTTTAACAAGGGGAAAGCACTCACATACTAATAATTGAGTCTTTACATGTAGTCCACCAACTTTATTATTACTTCAGAAAGCAAAACCAAACGACTCTACCAAAACATAATTCAGTACCATATTTGTTCCATTTATTACTAAGAAAAATAATTTGAACTAAACATAAAGACAAAATATTTCCTTACATTAAACTCACTCAGAGCAGGAACTTCTTACCACAAAGTATTTTGCCATCTGTTCTTCCTGGGATTTCCATCTTTACCACATGTCTTCATATAAAGGTTCATGGAGATTTATCAGACAAAAGAAACTGTTGATCCTGCAATTTAAAATATAATATTGATTTCCACCAAGTGATCTGTAAAGATGCATAGCTTGATGAACAGAAATTTTATGTATTTTCTGATCAGGGCTCCAACACTCATTACCTAAAATTTGTCTGGAATGAGTTAACTCTACATCAGATTTACCACTAGATTTTGGTCCTTGATTTATCCCGAAAATATTTCTCTTAACAAGAGCATGGCTCCCTGGAAAGTGTAACATCAGCAAACAGATGCATAATTGCCAAATTATAAAACAAAAATATTTGATAGTGTGACTGCTATTTGTGGATGTTGATTTCACTAGTAGCAATGGCTTGCCAGCACCTTGTTGAAGTGTCCAGTTACGTGAGAGATTAGGTAGTGTCAACACACTTTTCTACCACTCAAAGCAAAAGGCAAATATACAAGCCTGTCATCACTTAGTATCTAAATGAGTACACTCCAGCAGAGGTCACAGCATTTGGGAGAAGCAAACTTTTGTTAATCTCTACTTTCTCAAGTATAGACGTAAAGAGCTCAATTGCACTGAGATCTTCATTGTAATTGAGACCTGCTAAACCAGCTGGAGATAGCTAACAAAACTTGGGAGTCTCCTTTTCTATGCTGCTGAATATCATACTGACCCTCTCAGTCATTCAAAAAAAATTGGCATTAAGGAAACATTCTTGCGTTAAAACTAGATCAAAGGAGGATATAAACACCTTATTTCTGTATCAAAGGGATATGTTGAATGTATATTTGCATTTTGCTTTTAGTACTTTACTAGGTTTAGAAAGCAAACACTACAGCAATGGCTTTGCAAAAAAATAGTATGAATTTATTGATTTAATATAATAAAGCTGAATATCAAATCTAAACCACATTTCTCGCAATAAACAGTTGAACTCATATCATCTGGTGAAAGGACAAGGTACATCAACACCTTGTTGAAGATGGTGGGGAAAGATTTCTTTGTTCTTCCGTCAGATTCCAGTTGTAATTGTGGTGGAATCACTCAGAAAGAGGCTAGAACACAGATTTGCTAGGTCCCAACTTTAACTGGGGTGAAATCTCCACTCAATCCGATCATGACCAACCATTAAGAGTTGGGATTTGACCCAGATCCCCCCACCTTGCGTTTGTCACTAGGCAATCAAATATACAGGAACATGGGGCAGGTAAATATTGGAGATGCTGGGAATACATGATTCAGAATCCGAAATAAACAAAAAAAGAAATTGCTGGAGAAACTCAGCTGGTCTGGCAGCACCTATGAAGACAAAAGAGTTAATCTGGAAGTTCTTAAGAAGGGTCATCAGACTCGAAACTTTAACTCTGTTTAATTGCTAGATCTGCTCAAGTTCTCCAGCAATTTTTGTTTTTGTTTGCTTCAGATCTCCTGCATCCACAGTTCTTTCATGATCCAGAATCTGCTGGCAATAGCATCCTGTTAGACACCCAAAAGTTTCTTCAGGAGAAATGACTGTTATGGAGATAGAGTTGTAATAAAGATTGTGGTCTTCATTTTGTGTAGATCTTCAGACAGATAAATCTACTCATTTTGACAACTATATATTTAACTACTCATCAGAATGCTACAAAACTTGATGTAAACTAAGGGTAAAGTTCATGATAAAGATATAATGAGATGATCTTTGAGTTGAACGATGAAATAAGACCACTGTAAGGCAATATTAGAAAGATGCAGGAACAGAGCACTTAAGCCTGATACTGGGCAACTGTAACCAGGTCTCCTACAATCTTTGCAGCAATACATGGATCGACTATATTGTGATCTCTAATAACTTTCTAAGCAAAAGCTGGCACCTATAATCTTTCCTTGATATTGGAACAACAGTTCAAAGCTTGTTTCACCAGAAGGATGATCTAGCATTTTGGCATCCCAGAAAAAAAGACCACTGTACACATTAAAAAAAAAGATTTTGCCAGTCAACACCAAGAAAGTTGTTTTATAACAAAAGTACAAAGAAAGCAATTAGTATAATGGCCTCAATAATGAATTAGTAAGAAAAGGATTACAAATTAGCCTTACAGCAATTATTAGCCAATAAGCAGCTGATTTCACCTATTTTGTGCAAAACTGCTATTAATTCAAATCATTCAGCCAGTTGCAGTCCTTAGCATTTTTCATACTAATATTGTTACTAGTACATATCTATTGTCAGATAATTTTCTTTACATTAAATTGATATATATTGCTTACAAGGTTTGTTGAAGAGACAGAACTTGTAATTACTGAATTATAATAAGCGTATGACGCTCAACATTTACACAAGTGATACACCTTTAAGGTGCTGATCCTCTGATTTTGGATTTGAACTGAATTATGTTTTGCTAAAAGGATGTGGTGTTTTTGGTTAGGTCATTTGTTGTCTATTTCTACTTCTATGATCTACTTTCTTAAACCACTGCAGTTCAAAGGGTGTAGGAATACATACAGTACTTTTAGGAAGAACAACACTGTTACAAACCATGGATCAGATCAGATTATTAACATAAAAATGGTATCCCTTAGTTTGCCATTATAGGCAACTAGTCGAATTAATCTTGAACACCCCTGGATTCACAACAACAGATTTTCGCATAATTTGAGTTAATCATCCATAACAAGGAATCAATAAATTTAATAAGTTGTTTCAGAACAAATAAGTAGTGAAAGCTGTGTATAATTAGGGTCCTTGAGTTGTTACATGAAGTATCAATAAACATAGATACTGTTGATATAGTTTAACTAGGTTTTAACTATTTTTTTAAGCAACCTGTTCAGAGATGTTATTACACATCTCTGGAGCAGGTTGGACTAGAACACCAGACTTCCGGTCCAGGGATATGGACATTACCACTGTGCCACAAGAGGGGCCCCTTTAACTAGGTTTTGCAAGATAAAAATGCATTCCATACATTTTGACTTTGAAGATTTAAGTCCAACAAGAGAGCACTCTCAAGATTTTGGGAGTTTTGAGGTAGTTCAGGTTTGCCTTACTAAACAAAAAACAAAGAACTGAGGATGTTGGAATTGAATCATAGAACCCCTACAGTGTAGGTTGAGGCTATTCAGCCCATCAAGTCTGCACTGACCCTATGAAGAGCCCATCCAGACCCACTCCCACATCCTATCCCCACATTAGCCATGAATAATCCACCTAGACTACACATCCCTAGACACTATGAGGCAATTTAGCATGGCCAATCCAAAGAGCATCTCACCCAACTCTTTTTACCCCACACCTACCATTGTTAACTCAATTAGCCTACACATCCCTCAACACTACAGGCAATTTAGCATAGCCAAATCCACCTAACCTGCACATGTTTGGACTGTGAGAGGAAACTGGAGCACCCAGAGGAAAACCACACAGCCTGTGCCTAAGGCTGGAATCGAACTTGGGTCCCT